TAAGAATGTGCCTTGCAGGCACTGCGCCAGCTGCAGCGAAAATCACGGGTACCTAAGTACCCTCACCCCTTATCAGTCGCTTGCCACATGACGGTGCGATAAAGTTAAGGACTCCTTGCCTCTCAATTACAACTGCAAATTTATAACCTTCTCGGTTATCCTAGATCGGTACACGATAAACCTCATGGTTAACGTGAACCTCTTTGCGGCGGCGCTTGCGGTCAGTCTGATCCTTTAACAGTATCCCTCGCGGTTACGCTGGGTCATTCTTTGGATACACTCAACGCGGAACTCATTTGACTCCGCCTAGCTAGCCTTTAGGGATGGGGATGAGATGGGCTGGGGATGATCTAATCTACGCGGACCATGCTTGCCATATAAAAAACCGTTCTTGAGAAAAAAAAGTTATAAAGGCCATTCTGCGAAAAAACAGCTTTCACGGCCTTTTATATAATTGAATTAAGATATCAAATGCAAAAACGACGTAGAACAACGTAAAGACTCATCTTTGGTAGCAATGTCGCTACAATATTCAGCTTCTGTGCTGCTATTTTGGGTTAAAGTTAATCTAGACTTGAAATCCATTCATAAAAGCTAAAAATTTGTAACACTTTCCTTAGATAGCGCGAAGAAATGGGTCCAGTATGGTTTGACAAATGTATATACTTTCTGATTATTGCCCTTCCTCATAACCCGAATGTTATCTGCTAGGTGCATTTATTTCAAGGCTCAAGAAAGCATTTTATAAATGGTGGATTCCTTTGTCTCCCTTTTGCGGTGTGCACTTTTTCTGCCAAGCCCGCTACTCGAAGTTGGAGGTTATGAGGTCATAGTCACGGATGCTGAATTGGTTTGCACTAAATAGTTGCCGCATTAAACCGGCTGGACCGAAGGTATAAGCAAACGCATACTTGGGTAAGTTAGGTTTATGAGAATTAGCACAACTGTGCAAGTTGATGCATTTTACTTGCTGACATTATCGCTAAGTAAAGTACAATGTGTTGCGCAAGAAATTGCAGAGTTGTGCAAATGTCAAAAAAGCGTTTCAATTACCCAACTCTGGCCATAGCTGAGCAGGTAAAGTGCGACATTTTGCACAATTGTGCAATATGTTTGCTTTTTACCTGAAAGTAAAAAAATTCGGGAAGTGATTTCAAAAGACTGCGGTATCGGATAGTGCTCATCCGTTTAAGATGTGTGTGGTATCTTTTAGGTACTTTTAGTATATGTTAAAGTTTAACATGTCTGTGTTGCTCAGCCAATACTCATCTTATCTAGAGTCAACGTGATCGTTGACTAATGGTTCTTTGATGGGTATAGGGTGAGAATGGCGAGTTGTTTATGAAGCAGAACCCCTAATTTGCAACCTTGCATTTTATCGTAGAAGCAAAATGCAGAATAGTGCTTCGCGATGCAATTTTTTGCAATACAAGATACTGTATTTGACTTACTGGACCTAGTTGGCTCTAAAAAGTTCTATCTTAGAGATGTATATCGTAGTTTAGTTAAACAAATTCAACAACATCGTAATCAAAGCTTACAACTCAAATTTC